AATCCAATCAGGCCTCCTTCATCAGTACCCAAGATAGGGCAACTGCCCTGGAGAGATTGAGGGAAAGGAAAATCAGGGCGTTATCCTAGGGTAATTTCACCTCCTGAAATTTAGAGGGGGTGCCAATAGCACTTGGAATCCTTTAGCAGCATAGGAACAAGTGAATTTAGCACCTATGTTTCAAGAATAAGTTACAGTTGTGGGGAACCTATGATCTTGAAGCCACATGTGGCCCTCTAGGTCCCTCTAGGATTTGACTGAATCCAAATTGTTTCAAAAAAAAAAAAAGGAGATGGAAGTCCAAAGAGTTTGTTTGTTTGTTTTCTCAAAATCACCTAAGCAGTAAGCAGCAAATCCAGCACTTGAATGCATGTCCTCTGGCTTCAAGTCCTGACAGTCAACACACCTGTCTAAGGCATTTGGAGATCCCAGCTCTGTCATTAACTGTGTGACCTGCAGTAGGTGACTTCAGCCTTCTGGTCCTTTGGTTCTACATCTTGAATATGAGGGACTTGGAAAGCACCACTAGTTCTGGTTCTCTGTTCTTGGTTCTGCTGCTAAATAGCTCTATGTCCTTGAGCAAATCACTTTCACTCTGTAGGCCTGTTTCTTTCCTAAGGTCCCTTTGTGATTTAGAGATTCAGAATTCAGATCTGAACATAGATCTAGATTTATGACACTTTAGTGAATTGAAGATTAGTTAAAGGGATATTCAAAATGAACCTATCTCCCAACATATAGAGTTTAATTGATGAAATAATCATATACTGAGGAAGATATTTTCCAAAATACTGATGACCTCTTTGTCCTGGTAATTACACAAGGCACACACTTAGGGCAGAAAGGTTTAGAGAAGAGAAAGAAAATGATTCAGATTTAGCAAGCATTTATTAAGCACCTTGTATGTGCAACCACAAATGCAGTAGTTGGACCTAACATACTGTTAGGTCCTGGAGGTACCAAGACGAAGAACAACAGAATCAGAGCAAGGGGTTTAGAGCTGAACAGAGAAATAGGAAGAGATAGAGATCACTTCATGTTAGGAGGCTTCATGGAGGAGGTAGAGCCAGAGCTGGGGCAAAATTTGGGGTGTCTTACAAATAGCCACGTGTCTGGAACAAAGACTATTTTATGTTAACGTATGACATATGAGAAAGAATTTTCTTTATTTTGCTGTCTACGGCTCTTCTGGTGGAAGTATTTCTACAGGCCATTAGGCTTTTGTTTGGAAGTCTATTCCTCTGAAAAGGGACATAAGTTAGAGGTCAGTACCCTTCCTAGCCCTAGCTTATTAATCCCCCAGAGTCTCTAAGGTCATTACCTAAAGAACAGATATTTAGTTCTTTGGTAATGTTTTAAAACCATGTCATACATATATCTAATTATATATTTATATATGCATATGTATATATGTACATATATACACATACATACATACACACACACACACACACACATATGAAATTTGGTCTGTGTAAGTAAATAAACCAGAGTAAGCACTGAGAGGCTCGGGCCAAGAAGTGAAACTTTCACATATTGCTCCTTACTCTTAGTCTGGAAAGTCACCTAAAGCATTTAGGAGTTCTTAACCACTATTTTTATATCATGAACCTTTTTGGCAGTCTGCTAAGGCGTATGAACCCCATCACAAAAACATGTTTTTAAACACATAACAGAGAGTTAGCTCATATCGAGCATTTATATAGTGCTTTAAGGTTTGAAAAGCACTCTACATACATTCTCATTTGATCCTGACACCCTAAGATGGCATCGCCCAGGTGGAAGACGTTAAGGGAGTATTTCCAGGAATTGGGAAACTTGGAGCACATGCGGACATTTTAGATTGGCTTAACACATATTGCTGGGAGCATCATTTTTCCATTGACTGTGTAGCTGGAACAGGGTGTATCTTTAAAATAGACTTATTAAACAAGGCTTTTGCCAAGGTTTTGCTGCTGCGGGTGAAGGGCTTTTTCACGCATATCATGCAATAAGGAGGTGGGGCCTGGAAAGCCATATCTTCACTGCCCCCTTAGATCGTGTGAGTTCAGGAAATGGGCCTGGGTCTTTGGCCTTTTTGTTTTTTTCTTTTCTGTTCTAGGTTCAAGGGGTTGAGTCTCCTATTTGGCCTAGAAGCATAAGCCGCTGAGTTCCAGGAGTCCCAGAATCCAGGGCAGACACTATAGCCGGGGAGCCCTGAAGAGCCTGGGTGCAGGGACACCAGCCAAACAGGAGCCAGTACTGCCACTGACTTTGGCCTTGAGCTTGGTAAGACTAATGCTCTGAGAAATGAGCTAAGTGGTGACCCTAGTTCTACGCCCCCCCCCGCCACTGTTAGAGTGAGGTGATATGGGGGGATTTAGTCCTTGAGATTTTGGGGGCCATGTTTCTATGTGTGTTCTTAATGTATTTTGAAGTAAATATCCCTTTTTCAATGCTAATCTGATGTGAAGTGAATAAATGGAACTAGGGTACTAGTCACTGCATCTCTAAAATGGGGAGAATATAGCTGGGGCTATGGCAAAGAAAAGAGAGCCTCTTCAATCCCATCAAGGTGCCTGAGAACCCTCTGTGTGTATGTGGGGGTGGGGATGTCGGGGGGAGATAAAACGTAATGGGCCTCAACCTGAGAAAATGGGGCCAGAGTGAAACCATATTAAAAATTAATAAAATAAAAATGTGTAGCGTTACAAAGGAAACCAGCTATAGTGAAATACAGTTACCAAAAACAAATTCATGGACCCCCTGAAATCTATCTGCAGACCCTCCATGGATGTCAGGTTAAGACCTTCTACAAGGCAATTGTCCTCATTGAGGAACTAATGTGTCAGCTCACTGGCATCATTCCCTCACTGCAGTTTGGCAGTGCAGTTATAGGACTTTATTTTCTTGCCTTTCATAGGAACCAACCACAGGAGACTCACAGGACTGTGTGCCCTTCTTCGTGGTATCCCAAACTAAGTCCGGGGCACCTAGGTGGTGCAGCGGATAGAGCACCATGTGTGGAGTCAGGAAGACTCATCTTCACGAGTTCAAATCTAGCCTCAGACACTTACTAGTAGTATGACCATGTGAAAGTCACCTTAACCGTGTTTGCCTCTGTTTCCTCATCTGTAAAATGAACTGGAGAAAGAAGTGGCCAACCACTCCAGTATCTTTGCCAAGAAAACCCCAAATGGGGTCACAGAGAGTCAGACACGACTGAAATGACACAATAACAACGAACCGAGGTCAAGAAGGAAGTTCTAGAAACCCCTCTCCTTTCGTATTCCATAGAGTGCAGTAGTTGAGAACATTGGACTTCCAGTCTGGGAGTTTGTGTTCATTTTCTAACTCTGTTATTTACTGTCCGTGTAGGAATAATAGCTACCACTTATACATATATTATTTTATTCAATTCTCACACTTGATTAAGTAGATGCAATTACTGCTCCCATTTTACTGAGGAGAACGCTAAGACTTCAAAAGCCTTGCTTTTTTGGGGGGGAGGGAGGGGGAGGCAATTGGGGTTAAGTGACTTCCCCAGGGTCACACAGCTAATGAGTATCATGTGTCTGAGACCGGATTTGAACTCAGGTCCTCCTGACTCTTAGTCCACTGCTTTCTCTACCTAGGAATTTTGAAAACAAGCAATTTCCTCTTTCTGAGTCTTAGGTTTCTTATTTTCTATATATAATGGGGCCAAACTAAATGTTATCTATGGTTTCTTCTAGTTTTAAATACTATATTACAGGCAGGATGCATATTAAAATTCATAGGTAGCTGTCTCTTGATGATGAAAGATCAATGGATGGAGGATGAGATGGATCATAACTCAAACACCAGAGACCATCTAGTTTAATGTCCTAATGTTACAGAAGAGGAAACTGAGGTCCAAGGATGTTCAGTGACTTGTCACTCAGGAAATATTAGAGACAGGGCTGGAAACTAGGTCCTCTGATTCCATGCTCTTCCCCTGTACTCTTTGATCTCTCCTTTTATTCTTTCTCTTAAATGAATACATACCGTTCTTAGGATCAAGATCACAGTCATGTACCATGTTTTCACTAAATCCTACTATACCCAGGACATAAACCTAGAGTTAACTAACCAGACAGTATTCTATCCTCCCACTAAATAGAGAAAACATTTGTTTCAAATTGATTTTCTGAATTGTTCAGGCCATCTAAGAGATAAATTTTTCATGTCTGTGGGCTGGATAAGATTAGGTGTTTTTCTTTTATCCAAATTTGCTTTCTCTCCCCCCAATATCTATTTAATTTAATTGTGCTTCTTTGTTGCTTATTTTGTCTGACTCATGCTTGATTTAATTTTTTTCATTATAAACACTTGAGTGAGAATCTTACATAATCATTTTCTTTTCTGAGCTGTTTGTTTCCATTATATTTTATTAAAGTTTTGAAAAGATGGTAAAGTTAAAATGATTTATGGAAGAATTCAGAGGAATTCAAAGTGCTAGAAGTATAGTCATCTGATTGAAAAATTATCTCCCTTTCACAATTCTGCTTAAAATATCGAAACTAATTTTCCTGTAATACCACTGTCACATATTTACAAGAGTCCTACCCCAGTACCTTATCATGGCATGAGATGTTGAAGATCATGTTGCCAGAGCACAAGGTTTATTTCATTCCACAAGCATTTATTAATTGCCTACTAGGTAATAGGCCCTATGCTAGGCTCTGGAGACAGAAAGATAATCCTTACTCTGAAAAAGCTTACATTCTGCCTGCAGATAACACATACAGAGATATGTGCAAAGTACATAAAAAAGCAAAACCAATGTATGTTTTGGAGATGATCTCTAATAACTAGGGTGGGAGAGGAAAGGGAATATGAGCTGATCTTTAAAAAGAACTAACAGTTGGAGGTGATTGAGAAAGGGCTTGAGAGATGATCTGTCCAAAGACTGAGACTTGGAAGATGAAATATTGTGTACAAGAAAGGGTAAGGAGGCAGTTGCCGCCTGAGAGTTTCTCTTCCTTTATCTCCGGTCCTCCATGGCCTCGCAGAACCGCACCTCGGCCGCTGCCAGTGTCTCTGCCACCACCCGTAAGGGGGCCGAGCCTGGGGTGGGAGCTACCCGGGGGTCCGTGGGCAACAGGTCACAGCAGGAATTGAAGACCCTGGTGATGTCTGGAGACAAAGGAATTTCTGCCTTCCCAGAGTCAGACAATCTCTTCAAGTGGGTTAGGACCATCCATGGGGCAGCTGGGACAGTATATAAAGACCTAAGGTACAAGCTCTCCTTGGAATACCCCAGTGGCTACCTATATGATGCTCCCACTATGAAATTTGTCACACCTTGTTACCATCCTAATGTGGACACCCAAGGCAATATCTGTTTGGACATCCTCAAGGACAAGTGGTCAGCTCTGTATGATGTCAGAACCATCTTGTTATCTATCCAGAGCCTGCTGGGAGAACCCAGCATTGACAGCCCATTGAACACACATGCTGCTGAACTTTGGACAAACCCCACAGCCTTTAAAAAGTACCTGCTGGAAACCTACATGAAGCAAGTGACTAGCCAAGAGCCCTGACCCTGGCTGACAGCCTACCTTCCTTCATCTTGCGTGTATGTGTGTGTGTGTTTGTGTGTGTGTATCTATCTTTTTGCCTTCCTCATAACCTGTCTTCTCTTTTCTGTACAGGACTCTGTTTCATAGACTGTTTTCCTTTTCTTTTCTTTTTCTTAAACTCTTGTCCAGCCCTCAACATTAATGTATAAATAAATAAAGTTTTGTTGGTCTTTTTTTAAAAAAAAAGGATAAGGAGATCAATGTAGCTGGAATGTAGAATATATAATGGGGAGCAATGTGCAAAAAACCTGGAATGGTAGCCTGGAACAAAATTTATGAACAAGATTTATAAATGTCAAACAGAGGTAACTATATTTTATTCTAATGGTAAGAGGGAGCCACTCAAGATTCTCTAGAAGGAGAGGGACATATCAGACCTATACTTTAAGAATATCAATTTGCTTGCTCTATGGAGGATTGGGGGCACAGCTAGATGGCACGATGAATAGAGTGCTGGGCCTGAACAGTCAGGAAGACTCATTTTCCTGAGTTAAATCTGGCCTTTACTAGCTGTGTGACACTGGGCAAGTCACTTAATTCCTCAGTTTCCTCATCTGTAAAATGAAGTGGAGAAGGAAATGGCAAACCATGCCAGTATCTTTGCCAAGAAAACCCCATATAGGGTCACAAAGAGTGGGATGTGACTGAAACAATCTAATAAAAACAACAACATGGAGGATGGATTGGAAAGAGGAGAGATTAGGCATGGAGACCAATTAAGAGGCTATTATTATAATCCAAGTGATGGAAGCCAGAAGTCTTGGCAATTGTTTGGTATTAGAAATGAGAGAGAGTGAAGCATCCAGGGGTAATTCTGAATTCGTGTACCCATTTAACTTACCTGTAGAAGAATTCTATTGCCCTTTCGAGAAATAAGGAAGTGAGTAAGAAAGAAAGGCTTAGAGGAAAAGATAGTGAGTTTGTTTATAACATTTTAAGATGTTATGGGTCATCTAGTTCAAAATGTACAGTATGGAGTTGGTAATTCAGGCCTGGAACCCAAGAGAGACACTAAGACTAGATATGTAAATCTTAAAGTCATCTGTATAGAGATGATAGTTGGATGCATGAAAGCTGATGGAATCACCAGAAGTAGGGAGAAAGAGAAAAAGAGAGGAGAGAGAAAGAGAGACAGAGACAGAAAGAGAGACACAGAGAATCATAGAGAGAGAAGGTGGGAAGGAAATGAAAGGAAGGGAAGGGAAAAGAAGAGGAGAGAAGAGAAGAGAAACAATGGTAGAGCCTTGAAAGACAGTCACATTTTGGGAGTGATGCATAGATTAAAATTCAAGTTAAAGAGGCTTCAAGACAAATATGGAGAGGATAATCTCTTAGAGGGTTGGCCATTAGATGATGTGTTATCTGGCTATGGCAACCCACAAAAAGAAAAGAAAATTTAAAATGACCCTCATTCTAATATGGTTACCTTCCTTTTCCACAGTTATGGCAGAGTGTAAGAAATGGATGCAACACATTCTAAGAATTGTAGTTTTTAAACCATTTATATACACTACTTTAATATTTAATGATGATTATCCTCAGAGAGAAAAATAAAAAAAAATTGGCAGAGTTGTCTTCATTGTGGACCCAAAGAAAATAAAAAAAAGTGATTTTATGGATCATGAATCATTTTGCCTTGAAGAATTCACATTGAACACAGGCAGGAAGACCCCTAGGGAGTCACTGAAGTTTATGCACCACCATCTGTTACTGAGAATGAAGAAATTGGAAAATTCTATGAAGATTTTGAGATGGTATCCAACCAAGACAGTAAGTATGATAATATTTTTAAAAAATATGACAAGAGATTAAGAGATGAAAGAATTTAAAGATCTGTAGACTTCTCAGAAAACTCACACTTCTATTTCAATAATAAATTCTATTAGAAGCACTAAATGATATCACAAAAAATGAAATAAATTATTTCTTCACAGGTTTAAAATAACTGGTTATTGATATGGGAGTCATTTCTTTTTAAAATACATTTTATTGACATCTTTTGCTTTTACATTGCCTAAATTTCTCCTGTTTCTCTTTCCTTTTCCTCTTCCAGAATCACATCCCTCATGGCAAAGATTATTACTTAAGAGGGGAAAAAGAAAAAAAGCAAAATCAATCAACACATTTGAAAAGTCTGAATATATATTCAATGTTTGGCACTCATGGACTTTCCACCTCTGTTAAGGAGTGAGGGGGAACTATCTTCTCGTATCTCCTCTTTGGCATCATTCATGTTATTTGTAATTTTGCAACATTCACTTTTGATTGTTATGTTGTCATCCGTTTATAGTTGTAATCATTTCGTATATTATTTTCTTGACTCTGCTTATTTCATTCTGATTCAATTCATATGTCTTTCTATGCTTCTTTATATTCATCTTATTTATCATTTCTTATAGCAAAGCAATATTCCATTACATGCATGTACCACAACTTATTTAACCATTCTCCAACCAATAAGTATTGATTTTATTCCTATTTCTTTGCTACCACAAAAAGTGATGATATAAATAGTTTAGTGAAAATGAAGACTTTCTTCTTTTCAATGACCTTCTTGGAGTATATGTCTAGTAATATAATATTTGGATCAAAAGGTATGAACTTTTTAGTCATTTGATTTGCATAATTCCAAATTGCTTTCCAGAATGGTTGCATTAATTTGCAGCTCCATCAATAATGCAGTAGAGCCCTACCTTGTGGGAGCAATTTCTAAATTGACTACTTGTATGTAATCAGAGCACTGACTAATTAAAGCAAGACCAAAGTAGAAGAAAAGATAAACAAGAGGAAACACTTTGGCAGTTACAGAAGCTTTTAACATGATCAGTTTATAAACACCGCTGATTCTGAAAAATGAAAAATGGATAAAGGGAAAGACTTGGACTCTGATTATATAATTTCTTAGAGAAGTAAAAGTGCTATAGTGTAGTTGCTGCTTTGAGAAAGGCAAATGAACTGAGACACAACCTCAGTCAGCCCAAAGGAAATGGCAGGTAAAGTAGTCTCATTTTTTAATTTTTACAGAGCATAGAAAAGGATAATAACTACATTCAGTAAAATGCTAGGATCATAGATTTAGAGCTAGAAGAGACTTTGGGGATTAGAGATTCAACCCCATCATTTTACAGATGAAGAAAATTGGGACCAACTGGCAAAACAGTGAAAAAACAGGAAGAGAAAATTAACATGCAGAGAGAGCTTGACATGATGCAACCAAGTGAGATCATTCCAAAAGCGCTTTCAAATGAAACTGAAGGAAAAACAAATTGATAGACAATGGAACAGATTTGTGGGCATTTATTTGGCAATCGATTCTCATTATCAATCACAGTAGAGTGATTAGTACCTGAGGAGGAAAAGGAAAGGGCAGTTAAGTTGATAGAGAGGTGGAGAAACTGGCCAAGTTTAAACAAGGGCCCCCAGAAGAAATCCATACTAGAGGGGATGTGAACACTGAGGGGTTCATTTTCATGATACCTGAAAGAAGGAGCATACTGAAAGAATGGGGGTGGGTGGAGAAGGCAGTGAAGCCTAGGTCATTAAGTGCAGAATCTGAAATCAGACCTGACTTCAAATCTTGCTTCGGACACTCATTAGCTGTGTGACCCAAAAGCAAGTCATTAAATCTCTCTGAGTTTCAGCTTCAGATTTTCTCAGTCCTCTTCTTTGACACTACATTTGACTACTATATTTGACAGCATTGACCAATGGTTGTGTCAATGTTAACCAATACTTTCTGAATAGCTTTCTCCTAGGATTTTGTTGACACTACCTTGTGTCCTCTCCCTGCCTGTCTGGCCAATAAATCCCTTTTGCATAATCACCATTTTTGTACACCACCTTTGTGTGAATGAACCTCAAGGCCCTGTCCTGCTCCCCCTCCTTTTCTGTCACTACATTTTCTATCTTGGTGATCTCATTAGTTCCTATGGATTCAATTATCATACCTTTGTAAACAGGTCTCATATTTATATATACAGCTCTCAGTACTTTTCTGAGCTTCAGCCCTGCATCTCCAACTGCTTTCTCTACATCTCTACCTAGAGGGCCCATAGAAATCTCAAAGTCAACAAGTTCAAAACAGAACTGATTATCTTTTCCTGCAGGCCCATGCTTCCAGCATTCCCTGTTTCTGTCCAGGGCACCACCATCCATGGAATAGCATCTTTAGTTTTTTTCCCTCTTTGGCTTCCTTCAAGTCCCAGAAACCTTTCTCCAATCCCCCTTAATGCTAATACCTTCCTTCTGAATGCTAATACCTCCCTGTATACATCTTATTTGTATATAGTTGTTTGCATGTGGTCTTCCCTTTTAGACTATGAGTTCCTTGAGAGCAGAGACTGTTTTTTGTTTGTTTGCTTGCTTGTACTTTCTTTGTATCCCTAGAATTTAGCACAGTGCTCATCATAAGCCCTTTACAAATCAGAGTAAATCTACTTTTTCAGTCTTATTGTACAGTATTCCTTTTCATATACTCTACAATTCAACTAAACTGCCTTCTTGCTGTTCCTCACACATGTACATTGTACAGAGTAACAGCAATATTATATGATGATCTACTATGAATAACAGCTATTCTCAGCAATATGATGATACAAGACAATTCTGTAGGACTCTTGGTGAAACGTGCTGTCTAATGAATGAATTGCTGCAAGATCTTTCCAATTGATTTTCCCGATCCAAGTTTTTCACATTTCTACACCCATCCTCTACATAGCTACCACACTGGAATTCCTAAAGCACAAGTCTGACTATGTCACTTCCCTGCTCAAGACTTTTTTTTTCCCCTCACTGCATTTTGGATAAAATACAAACATCTCTGCTTGGCATTAATAGCCCTTCACGCCTTAACCCCTTCCTAATCTTCAGGGATGAATTTTACATTTTATATCTCCAGAACCTAGCATAGTGTCTGGATGATAGTAAGTGCTTAAATTTTTATTGATTAATTGAGTCACAATCTAAAAATTATCCTTCAGT